AAGGCGTCATGTAGACATGTTGTCTTGTGTGAAATGGCGTCATGTAGACATGTTGTCTTGTGTGAAATGGCGTCATGTAGACATGTTGTCTTGTGTGAAATGTTGACATGTTGTCTTGTGTGAAATGGAGTCATGTAAACATGTTGTCTTGTGTGAAATGGCGTCATGTAGACATGTTGTCTTGTGTGAAATGGCGTCATGTAGACATGTTGTCTTGTGTGAAATGTTGACATGTTGCCTTGTGTGAAAAGGCGTCATGTAGACATGTTGTCTTGTGTGAAATGGCGTCATGTAGACATGTTGTCTTGTGTGAAATGGCGTCATGTAGACATGTTGTCTTGTGTGAAATGGCGTCATGTAGACATGTTGTCTTGTGTGAAATGGCGTCATGTAGACATGTTGTCTTGTGTGAAATGGCGTCATGTAGACATGTTGTCTTGTGTGAAATGTTGACATGTTGTCTTGTGTGAAATGGAGTCATGTAAACATGTTGTCTTGTGTGAAATGGCGTCATGTAGACATGTTGTCTTGTGTGAAATGGCGTCATGTAGACATGTTGTCTTGTGTGAAATGTTGACATGTTGCCTTGTGTGAAAAGGCGTCATGTAGACATGTTGTCTTGTGTGAAATGGCGTCATGTAGACATGTTGTCTTGTGTGAAATGGCGTCATGTAGACATGTTGTCTTGTGTGAAATGTTGACATGTTGTCTTGTGTGAAATGGCGTCATATAGACATACATTCGCCTTCTAAACATGTTTGTTTCTAAATGTTTGATAACTCGGGTTGATACAGATGACGTAGGAAACATTTTTTAATTCCTCTTACCAATCTCAATAAGTAAATAATGTAAGCATCAGATGTAATCACCTAAATGTGTAAGCCGAGCGAGGTGAGCTACCCTCACAACGAGGCTGGCGTAGTGAGAAACATAATTTAACATATCCTCTCTTGTCGCCTCCGAAATCAAATATAAATTAGTCTCGTTATAAGATGTTTATAGTTTTAAGTCACCCATATATAGTTGTGGTATTGGGCATCCAACTACCTAGATCTACTAAACAAACTATTTTGTTCAAAATGTTTTTTTTTTTTTTTTTTTTTTTTTTTCTTTTTTTATAAAAACGAAACTTTAATTAAAACTCTTGTTTTTCTTGTAACAGGTCTAAAATAATTATTTTATTTTACTTTTACTAATGGTTTATTTTTGTAGAGTTTTTTTTTATCAACTAATAACATAACTATGGGGTGGCGTGGCCCAGCGTTAGAACGCTAGACTGCTAACCCGAAAGTCTCGAATTCGAATCCGAGTCAAGTCAGTAGACCGTCTCTGATTCCACCCAGCTCTGATAGGTACCTAACTCACGTTAGGGAAAGTAAAGGCGGCTGGGCATAGTGCTGACCACAGTATCCCTTCATAAGCCTAGGTCACAGAAACAAGTGAACTCTACACTGACCATCAGGTTCGAAAACATAATTTTACTTTCGCTTTTTGATGTCATAACTGCTATAATCGCTACACAATATCAACAGCAACTGCCTATTAATCTCTTACAAGCATCTTATCAACAACATCCAACCTTTCCCCAGACACCATCCCACCATCCCATCTTATCAACAACATCCCACCACCCACCATCCCACAAGGACAGCCACACCATTACCATCATCATTACAATTTGCATTCATCTCCATCTAATTATCTACTCTTGGCCCAGTGCCCCCACCCCACCACTCCACCACCCCCCCCCCCACCCCACCTCTTTATTTGACTAATTTACACCATCAGACGGCAGAGATCGATATCTGATACACAGATCTTTAATCCAGGGTCACCGCTTGGCTGGCGTGACTCGCTAATTGACGCTAGTCTGACCCGTCGACGCTGCCCGTGTTTTTATCATCTAGACACTATTAGAGTCGACTGTTTGTTATGATATAGACACCATTAAAGTCAACTATTTTTTATCATCTAGATATAGAGTCGACTATTTGTTATGATCTAGACACCTTTAGAGTCGACTATTTGTTATGAACTAGACACCATTACAGTCGACTATTTGTTAAGATCTAGACACCATTAGAGTCAACTATTTGTTAAGATCTAGACACCATTAGAGTCAACTATTTGTTAAGATCTAGACACAAGTAGAGTCGACTATTTTCTAGAACAAACTGGACTTACTTTATAAACTGACTTAGTGAATGTAAAATGTTTTAAACATTATCTTGTGATAGTACAGACAAGAGCTGATTATATGTCTAGGAGACCAACATTCTTTACTTTAACAACACACGACATATGTCCAATAGATTAACGACCTACATTGTTAAATCTAGTGTGTACATTCAGACAGTACACACGTGACAAGCGTGTACATGTACTTTGTTCAAGGTGAACCCACATATTTTACCAATATCTGTCTGTGAACCTTACTGTTTAACTAGCAATAATACAAGGGCGATTATCTAGCAATAATACAAGGGCGATTATCTAGCAATAATACAAGGGCGATTATCTAGCAATAATACAAGGGCGATTATCTAGATTTGTTTTCAAATCAATACCAACAGCCACACAAAATGCGAGTGAGCATCCGACAGTAGGCGAGTACTCACAATGCTGTTCGCGCACATTATTTCCTACTGTATAGATCTGACCTGTCGTGTTTATTCATGCTAGACTGAACATTTTGTTAATCGACACGTGCTCAATCCATACTCACCGTCGTGGTTACGTCGACCTGGGATTATCGTTAGGGTTAAAGCTGTTCCGCTGCCTAGGAGAGTCAGGTTAAAGCTGTTCCGCTGCCTAGGAGAGTCAGGTTAAAGCTGTTCCGCTGCCTAGGAGAGTCAGGTTAAAGCTGTTCCACTGTCTAGGAGTCAGGTTGAAGCTGTTCCACTGTCTAGGAGAGTCAAGTTAAAGCTGTTCCACTGTCCAGGAGTCAGGTTTAAGCTGTTCCGTTACCTAGAAGAGTCAGGTTAAAGCTGTTCCGTTGTCTAGGAGAGTCAGGTTAAAGCTGTTCCGCTGTCTAGGAGAGTCAGGTTAAAGCTGTTCCTATGAGAGTCAGGTTAAAGCTGTTCCTGTGAGAGTCAGGTTAAAGCTGTTCCGTTGCCTAGGAGAGTCAGGTTAAAGCTGTTCCGTTGCCTATGAGAGTCAGGTTAAAGCTGTTCCGCTGTCTAGGAGAGTCAGGTTAAAGCTGTTCCTATGACAGTCAGGTTAAAGCTGTTCCGCTGTATAGGAGAGTCAGGTTAAAGCTGTTCCTATGACAGTCAGGTTAAAGATGTTCCTATGAGAGTCAGGTCAGGTTAAAGCAGTTCCTATGAGAGTCATGTTTACGCTGTTCCACTGTCTAGGAGAGTCAGGTTAAAGCTGTTCCACTGTCTAGGAGAATCAGGTTAAAGCTGTTCCACTGTCTAGGAGAGTCAGGTTAAAGCTGTTCCGCTGCCTAGGAGAATCAGGTTAAAGCTGTTCCACTGTCTAGGAGAGTCAGGTTAAAGCTGTTCCACTGTCTAGGAGAGTCAGGTTAAAGCTGTTCCGCTGTCTAGGAGAGTCAGGTTAAAGCTGTTCCACTGTCTAGGAGAATCAGGTTAAAGCTGTTCCACTGTCTAGGAGTCAGGTTTAAGCTGTTCCTATGAGAGTCAGGTCAGGTTAAAGCTGTTCCTATGAGAGTCATGTTTACGCTGACACAAACGGTGCTGGGTAATTATAGCCGTACATCGCTGGGTACGCCGTCAGCACTTTGTCGAGATGTCGCCTCCGTCGACAATCAATATCAGCAAAATGATAGCTCAAGGTTACACTCGTATAAAACTCAAGGTTACACTCGTATAAAACTCAAGGTTACACTCGTATAAAACTCAAGGTTACACTCGTATAAAACTCAAGGTTACACTCGTATAAAACTCAAGGTTACACTTGTATAAAACTCAAGGTTACACTTGTATAAAACTCAAGGTTACACTTGTATAAAACTCAAGGTTACACTCGTATAAAACTCAAGGTTACACTCGTATAAAACTCAAGGTTACACTCGTATAAAACTCAAGGTTACACTTGTATAAAACTCAAGGTTACACTCGTATAAAACTCAAGGTTACACTCGTATAAAACTCAAGGTTACACTTGTATAAAACTCAAGGTTACACTTGTATAAAACTCAAGGTTACACTTGTATAAAACTCAAGGTTACACTCGTATAAAACTCAAGGTTACACTCGTATAAAACTCAAGGTTACACTTGTATAAAACTCAAGGTTACACTTGTATAAAACTCAAGGTTACACTTGTATAAAACTCAAGGTTACACTCGTATAAAACTCAAGGTTACACTCGTATAAAACTCAAGGTTACACTTGTATAAAACTCAAGGTTACACTTGTATAAAACTCAAGGTTACACTTGTATAAAACTCAAGGTTACACTCGTATAAAACTCAAGGTTACACTTGTATAAAACTCAATACAATAGGCTTATAATGAAAGTCAATGTTACTTAGGATTAAACTCAAAGCTACGGCTTTAAGAAAATCAATACGATGGGGACTATGATTGTTGTAAAACTCAATACAATGCCTATAAAAAAAACTCAACAATACTATGCATGTAAAAAAAACTCAACAATACTATGCATGTAAAAAAAAACTCAACAATACTATGCAAAAAAAACAAAACAAAAAAAACAACAACTCAATACTACTGCCTGTATAACACTCAATACTATGCGTGTATAAAACTCAATACTATGCGTGTATAAGACTCAATACTATGCGTGTATAAGACTCAATACTATGCCTGTAAAACAACTCAATACTATGCTTGTATGAAGCGACTTGGCCGCTCCATGCATCATGCTTCAGTACTCAGTGTTTAACCTGTAATAGCTAGCCGGGTAATGGCAGTAATTATGTGACATGACAGTAATCATGTGACATGACAGTAATCATGTGACATTAACTACGTTACACTACCTTGACAGTATTCTTGTTTCTTGTCTTACAGACTGCCGACTTCAGATCTGTCAGCGGAAATACTTGATACTGTGGTGTTTGGTGAGTTGTCTATACGTTTATCTCACCATCTGTATACGTTTATCTCACCATTTGACTACGTTTACATCAATATTTGCCTACGTGTTTCTCACGATTTGCCTTTATTTCACCATTTGCCGACGTTTATCTCACCATTTGCATACTTTTATCTCAACATTTGCCTACGTTTATCTCACCATTAGCATACGTTTATCTCAACATTTGCCTACGTTTATCTCACCATTAGCATACGTTTATCTCAACATTTGCCTACGTTTATCTCAACATTTGCCTACGTTTATCTCAACATTTGCCTATGTTTATCTCACCATTTGCATACCGTTTCTATCGCCATCCCTATACGTTTGTCTCACCTTTGCTATACCGTCTTTATTTTAATACCACAAGGCCTACATTTGTAATCACCATCACTACACTTTTGTCTCACCATCTTGTATCACCATCATAACAATATGACAATATTAATCTTAAATATATCCGTTATTGTTTATACTCAATGAAGATATATATATATATATATATATATATATATATATATATATATATATATATATATATATATATATATATATATATACAGAGGCGTAGCACCGGGTGACACCATTTAGGGGGGGGGGGGACACACCAAGGCTAAAAATAACAAAATATATAGAGAAAAACTTGAGGGGGGTGGTGCAAAGCAAAAGTTTAAGGGGGAGGGGGGTGGGGGTGAAAATCAGGAAGGGTCGCTACGCCTCTGGGGAATGACACCATTAAGTGCCGCACCGGGTGACACCCGACCTCGCTACGCCACTGTATATATATATATATATATATATATATATATATATATATATATATATATATATATATATATATATATAATGGTGAATGTAATATCGTGGTAAATGCAACTGTTTTCTTCAAGTAAGTTTATCATGTGGAAACTCAAATTTGTTTCGAGCAAAAAGCTATCATAGTGTATCTGATAGTTTTAGTGCAATGATTTATCAAGTAAATCTGAGATCTGTAAACATTTTCATAATGGATGTTGCCTGGAGCATACAGTAGGTTTACATATTGACGACAATTATCTCAGCGCCACAGCGCGAGACTTCACCTCAGACAGGCGATATTATCTCGTGACGTCAAATCCGCTGTAGTTATCGCGGTGTCACCACTAGCTATAAGAAACTCACGTAGGTCGTGTGTCGTGACTCTTATGTCCTTGACATTTCTACAAACATCGAATGTGACTCGTCGCTTCTTACGTTCTAAATATATACACAAACGTACACTTGAATATGTACTTAGTACCCTTTGGAACCTTACAGACATATGAAGGGATAGTGTGGTCAGCACTATGCACAGCCGCTTTTACTTACCCATACGTTAGTTAGGTACACATCAGATCTTAGTGGACTCAATGGCGTTCTATTGACACTAAACCGGGGCTTGAACTCGAGACTTTCGGGTTAGCAGTCGCAAGCTCTACCATCCGACCGATGCTATATATACAGTTGTACAATAAATGATTGTAACCGTCCCTCTAGTCTCTACCCAATATACTCCACTGGATTAAAATAAAATCCCCACCTTCCTACATCGTTAGTTGCTAGAGTGTGAGTTAATTGAGGAGATAAACAGCTCACGTTGTACCAAATCAACAACCTGATTAGACGCAGTCTGTAGAACATGAAGTATTTCTAATAAACATTACGGAGAAAGGAGAAAGACAACTGAACGTTTATAGGCACCGCACTAATGATAGACTGACGTAGCCAAAGTGTGATGTCTTGAGCCGAGATAAACGGGGTATAAATCAAGAAATAAAGCATCACTTGGTAAACAAAGTTGGTGTTATATGCCTACAACACACCAAAACAAACAAACACACACACACACACATACACACACAAACTATCAATGTGATAAACAAAGCTGTTGTTATAGACCTACAACACACACCAACACAAACACACACACACATATATATACACATAAATACACAAACACACATTCACTGTGGTAAACAAAGCTGTTGTTATAGACCTACAAAACACCAACACAAACAAACTATCACTGCGGTACACAAGACTAGAGATGACTAACACATCATCTAACCCTACCACCATCACCATCACCATCTTAGCTATTAACCCATCCTCTCTACCACAACCACCACCATCTACCGCTGCCACCCCCACATGTTACACCATCTGCGAACATCCACTGAACATATCTGTACTCAAATTATCAGAACATTTTAAACCCTCTCAAGTCAAATCTAATTGATTCTTAAATAGAATCCCGAATTACGCTATGGACCTTTCATGTAGATAAGTCGTATCAACTATTCTCAAGCTGTATTGGTTGATACACAGTTAGACGACAAAATGTAAGGCCCTACGCTGATCAATGTTAAATCATTAACAATCAAAACTGTTTAATATAAATTATAAATACGTATTAAATTGCATATTGAGTGAAATGTTTAGGCCTCTCTATGTACATATATATATATATATATATATATATATATATATATATATATATATATATATATATATATATACATATATATATATATATATATATATATATATATATATATATATATATATATATATATATATAGTACGCTCGTTTAAACATATGAAACAGACTGTCTTCCGCCCCTTGGGGTTACAATACTTTCTTAGCAGATTAACAGGCAAGGTCACCTACATGATACTAGCCAAGGTCACTAGCATGATACATGCCAAGGTCACCACCCTGATATCCTCTACCAGGCCGTTACACTCCAGGTAGAGGTAGATGTGCTCAGGTGTGTTGATGGTAACCAAAGGTGGTTCTATCGCCTCACTGACTGCAACCTCTCGGTGTGTTGATGGTAACCAAAGGTGGTTCTATCGCCTCACTGACTGCAACCTCTCAGGTGTGTAGATGGTAACCAAAGGTGGTTCTATCGCCTCACTGACTGCAACCTCTCGGTGTGTTGATGGTAACCAAAGGTGGTTCTATCGCCTCACTGACTGCAACCTCTCGGTGTGTTGATGGTAACCAAAGGTGGTTCTATCGCCTCACTGACTGCAACCTCTCGGTGTGTTGATGGTAACCAAAGGTGGTTCTATCGCCTCACTGACTGCAACCTCTCAGGTGTGTAGATGGTAACCAAAGGTGGTTCTATCGCCTCACTGACTGCAACCTCTCGGTGTGTTGATGGTAACCAAAGGTGGTTCTATCGCCTCACTGACTGCCACCTCTCAGGTGTGTTGATGGTAACCAAAGGTGGTTCTATCGCCTCACTGACTGCAACCTCTCGGTGTGTTGATGGTAACCAAAGGTGGTTCTATCGCCTCACTGACTGCCACCTCTCAGGTGTGTAGATGGTAACCAAAGGTGGTTCTATCGCCTCACTGACTGCAACCTCTCGGTGTGTTGATGGTAACCAAAGGTGGTTCTATCGCCTCACTGACTGCAACCTCTCGGTGTGTTGATGGTAACCAAAGGTGGTTCTATCGCCTCACTGACTGCCACCTCTCGGTGTGTTGATGGTAACCAAAGGTGGTTCTATCGCCTCACTGACTGCCACCTCTCAGGTGTGTTGATGGTAACCAAAGGTGGTTCTATCGCCTCACTGACTGCCACCTCTCAGGTGTGTTGATGGTAACCAAAGGTGGTTCTATCACCTCACTGACTGCCACCTCTCAGGTGTGTTGATGGTAACCAAAGGTGGTTCTATCGCCTCACTGACTGCAACCTCTCAGGTGTGTAGATGGTAACCAAAGGTGGTTCTATCGCCTCACTGACTGCCACCTCTCGGTGTGTTGATGGTAACCAAAGGTGGTTCTATCGCCTCACTGACTGCAACCTCTCAGGTGTGTTGATGGTAACCAAAGGTGGTTCTATCGCCTCACTGACTGCCACCTCTCAGGTGTGTTGATGGTAACCAAAGGTGGTTCTATCGCCTCACTGACTGCAACCTCTCGGTGTGACAACAAACAATAATTTACTTGAGTTTGGAGAAATTAATTTTATGTCGATAAGAAAATCAAGTTTCAGCTTACTTATTTTTTCTAAAAAATTCATTACCACCGTAATTACCTAACTTATTTATAGCAAAAATAAAATACGCGCATTTACATTAAAAACTTACATTAGATAGCAAACAAAGCCAATATTTTCTTAAAATAAAAAAAAAACTAATTACCTCATATCTCAACATAAAAAGTGTCTGGTTTAATATACTGAGTAGCTGTATCCCAGACAACAACTAACCGTATCTTATCCAACAACTTACGTACATTAAGTAACAATCAACTATAACTTATGTAATTAATTATCTAACAAATAACTGTACTTAATTAACATAATACAACTCTACCTAACCTAACAACACAACTCTACCTAACCTAACAACACAACTCTACCTAACCTAACAACACAACTCTACCTAACCTAACAACACAACTCTACCTAACCTAACAACACAACTCTACCTAACCTAACAACACAACTCTACCTAACCTAACAACACAACTCTACCTAACCTAACAACACAACTCTACCTAACCTAACAACACAACTCTACCTAACCTAACAACACAACTCTACCTAACCTAACAACACAACTCTACCTAACCTAACAACACAACTCTACCTAACCTAACAACATAACTCTACCTAACCTAACAACACAACTCTACCTAACCTAACAACACAACTCTACCTAACCTAACAACACAACTCTACCTAACCTAACAACACAACTCTACCTAACCTAACAACACAACTCTACCTAACCTAACAACACAACTCTACCTAACCTAACAACACAACTCTACCTAACCTAACAACACAACTCTACCTAACCTAACAACACAACTCTACCTAACCTAACAACACAACTCTACCTAACCTAACAACACAACTCTACCTAACCTAACAACACAACTCTACCTAACCTAACAACATAACTCTACCTAACCTAACAACACAACTCTACCTAACCTAACAAC